ACCGCCACTGGATACCCCACAATCGTATTCAGACATTTTAATTAAACACTCTGCTAGTATTCCTCCTAACGTTATGAGCTTCGTTAAACTGGCCGTTTTCCTCTAGTAATTTTGCAAAGTCCAGATGCATGCACATCTGCGAACGGTCGCTTAACACCAAGCCTTAGCCTGTCCCCGCGGTTTTATGAACAAAACAAAATTCTGAAATTATGCAAACTGAACCCCAAAATGAGAAATTATGCGATTCTGTTAATTTCAACAAAGAATGATACAGAAAAATAATCAGGAATTATGCAAAAAACGATCAAATTTTGCTAAATTATGCGGGGTGCATAAAACCATGGGGACAGCTTAGCGCAGGTAGGGCGTACGGTCCCTTAGCACCAAGCACTATTGGGGGCGTACGGTCCCCTAACATCAGCCTTTCCAAAATAAGTCGAATCGAGTCTTTCTTAGTCACCTGTACGGCTGACAAAAAAGCGTGCATGCAGACAAATCGCGTAGCCAGGCAGAGGAAGTCAGTGACTGACGAAAACGAGCTCATTTGCATGTGAGCTTGGCCTGCAACTGAGGAACAATGCCTGTGGAAGTGGGGCCTAAGCATAAATGAAGGACAGATCACCAGTCTCGCTGTTGTCGTGTACGGACGGCGCCGTACCACCCTGTTCCTCATTTGGTTCATTTTGAATTAGAATGATGGGCTTCATAGTGAAACGGAAATACGAAAGAGTGCACTGTCTAAGGTATCAAATACAATTCTGTGGCTACTAGTCCACTGAAACGTCCACTTAGTAAATGACTCTGTGAGCTCGTACATTTCTCTCCAACAAGTACTCAGTTGATTTTTAATCGTGTGTGTTTACTCCCCCAGGCCTGCTCGTGCCACGCCTACGACACATTGCGCAACAACAGCATCCCCAAGGAAAATATCGTATACATGTCTTACGATGACGTGGCCAACGACCCTGAGAACCCCGTCAAAGGAAACATCGTCAACGTTGCTGGAGGGCCGAACCTTTACCCCCGATGTAAACCAGACTACCGGAGGAAAGAAGTGACACCAGAAGTCTTCCTCAAAGTTCTCACTGGAGACAAGGAGGGCGTAAAGGAGCTGATTGGTCGAGACGGTAAGGTGATTGCCAGCGGTCCTGACGATCACGTGTTCGTCTATATGATTGATCACGGAGGTCCAGGGGTCTTCTACTTCCCAGGTTTTGTTGAGCTGCACAACAAAGACCTCAACAACGCCCTCAAGCAGATGCACAGAGAGAAAAAGTATAAGGAGATGGTGCTTTACGTGGAAGCCTGCGAATCGGGCAGTATGTTCGAGGGCATACTTCCAGAAGACATCAATATATACGCTATCTCAAGCACTAATTCGCACGAGTCGGGAATTATGTGCTGTTGGGATAAATTACGTAAAGTCTACGTAGGTTCTTATTTCGGCAACGCCTGGACATATAACACAGACACGGCAAATCTCCTCAAGGAAACACTCTACCAGCAGTACGAAGTGGTGAAAAAAGCTTGCAACGTCTCTGGATCAGTGAGTCACCCCCAGCAGTACGGAAACTTGAGCATGAACAGCGAAGTCCTCGCTCAGTACCTGTCGAAAGCGGAGGGATACCAATCCGGTGTCTGTCTCAATACTCTAGAAGTAGATAATACTCTGAGGTCAGAGTTCTCATTCGCCGGCATTGACCTCAATAACCCCGCTACTGACATGGTTCCGATCGCCACTGCGGCTCGTCGCCTCATTGAGTCACGTGACCTCAGTGATGAGAAGCAGGAAGAGCTCAAGGCCGAATTGCGTCACTTGATGCTGGTCAAAGAAAAAGCCGAGTCATTGACCAAAGACCTGGTGAAGGCAGCCTTGTCCAGCCCCAGAGGCCTGGCGGAGACCGACATACTGACCGGTAAAGAGCAAGTATTTAACTCTGAGTGTTACATGGCCGCCCGGAGCCTCTTTTCTGCCCGATGTCCGGGCATCAACATGGGGAAGTACCCATTCGCCAGGAGAAATCTGCATGCCTTTATCAACCTCTGCAATCACCAGCCCCAGACTGATGTCATGAATGCCATCATGCAGGTCACGGGGAAATACGGAATATGCCAAGTTCTGTAGCTGCGTGGGATCGAGTCGTCCCCAGTTCCCGACTGTCTCCCGTTCCGCCGATTTCTACCTTTTTATCCGGTGTCTAATTGTTATTGTTTTGGTTTTGGTTCTTTGTTGTTGTTCATTCATGTTTTTTTTCTGTATTAAAACAAGTTTTTAACTTACAAAACATCGTAGTCTACAATTTTTCAATCTATTTCCTGGTCAAATTTTGAGACATACATCCCAATCTAATTACATGTATTTTGAAATGAAAATAGGGGATGAGGAGATATGGTAGTTTTAGGAGCTGGACTTCCCTTTCAACACTGTTAGATTATCTATTAACTGGTGACACTTTTAGATGTAAAAACCAACCACACCTGGTATTAACTGCCAACCATAGGACGAGCATAAAAGTGGCAGTATTGAGGTCATGGTGGTATACCATGATTCTAATGATCTACTCGGTTGATTAATCCCGGCAACCATGTGTCAAGGTAAATGATTTTTCTGAGTTTGTTTTTGTTTTTGTAAAGTGTTTTACGGCGCTCGCAACTGCATAAGGTCATATGAGTGCACGGGACACACCTACTATTTTCAGTTGGTAGGACATTTTGAATTTTGCCCGGGTGGCGGCCGAAGCCTACTCTTATCGATTTTAGACCAAGGGATCTTTAACGTGCGCAACTTGCACACGGGCCCTCCGAGATTTTTCGCCTTTGTCCGAGAAGGCTAGGTGTAGATCTTTCCTACCAGAAGATCAGGGGTGGGGCTGAAAGACAGCAGTAAGAAGTAGTAGCGAAGGAGTAGCAGCAGAAAGGCTGCAGAAAAAAATCAGGAGCCTATAGGAAGGGGCAAAGGAGGTGAGGGGGTGGGGGCAGAAAGAGGAGACAAAAGCAGGAAACCAGGTGAAAGGAGACAAATTTAGAGAAGAAAATTTTTCGGTCGCTACCCGGAATCGAACCCGGGACCTTTGAATGAGAGTCCAACACCTTAAACTCTAGGCCACAAGAGCCCCCTTTTTTTCGGAGTGATGTAATAAGCACATGTATTTAGAGCAGAGAGTCTGCTCTCTCTCTCTCCCTTCCTTCCTCCTCCTCTCTCTCTCTTACTCTCTCTCTCTCTCTCTCTCTTTTTCTCTCCAAGTCTCTCCCTCTTTCTTTCTCTGCCTCTCGCTCTCTCTTTTATCTCTGTCTCTATCTCCCGTTCTCTGCCTGTCTGCAGTGTCTGTGACTGTCTAATTGTCTCTCTCTCTCTCCGACTTTCTCTCTCTCTCTCTCTCTCTCTCTGTCTCTCTCTCTCTCTGTCTCTCTCTCTGTTTGCGTTCCTATATACGTGTGTACGTGTGTGTGTGTGTGTGTGTGTGTGTGTGTGTGTGTGTGTGTGTGTGTGTGAGAGTGTGTGTGTGTGTGTGTGTGTGTGTATGTGTGTGTGTGGTGCGTGCGTGCGTTCGTTTGTGTGTTTGTATGTGTTTGTGTGTGTGTGTGTGTGTGTGTGTGTGTGTGTGTGTGTGTGTGTGTGTGTGTGTGTTTTAGTGTGTGGCTGTGTGTGGCTGTGTTAACATGCAAGCTTGCGTCTGAGGATACAAAAACAAATAAATCGAAAATAACAGTAAACAGCCGGATCAGAGTGATCAAACACAATCTTCCTGAAATACACCAGACAAGGGTTCGGAGGTTGGATGGGCGAGAGCGAGAAATTCATGCTACATAAGCCCGGTAGCACGCACAGATATAGTGAAGAACCAAGGGGAATATCACAGCATATCTGCCGAGTGAGTTCCGCCCACTACTTATATACGGATTTTTTTAAATATCAAGTGGAACAAGCAGTCCTTATCAAGAGACAAAGCACAATGGGTGTTCGGTAGCGTTGTCACCCATGATCTTTACATTGTCTGTTGTTTTTTGGCACTTTTTAGAGGCCGAGTAGTGTTGGTTAGTAAAAAGTAAATATTGAGTTGTCTTGAAGCAACTTTGTGGAGCGTTTGGAAAACTTCTGGTATCCATGTACAAGTCACCCGGAACGTTGCAGCAATCGATTTTTAAAAAAAGAGATAAAATGTGTCACGATGTGGTGGAATCAGACGCTCGTAAATTTTGGGGCATATTGGGTTATTGATATCATCTTTAAGCCTGTTCATTTGCCTTCCTTAAATATCTATCTCGAAAAGCAGTCAAAGTATTTGCAGTCGATGGAGGTCAGGGTCGCCAGGTTTAAGAGGTAAACTTAGCGAGAAAACGGTGGACAAATTTTAGTAGCTTCCATAGTCTGAGAGTCCTTGAAAACTGAAAATTGACATTTTGGGGCCTTTAATCAATGTTTTTCAGTATAAACCCCCAAAAATGTGTTTTAAATGGACATAAAAGGTGTTGGGCAAAAAAAAAAGAACTTTAAAAAGATTGCCCATCTGCCCCAAAAATTCCGATTTCTTTGATTTCATTATTTTGACGAGCGCCTGATTTCACCACGATGACCCACAAATGTGTCCATGAGAACAACAAAAGTCCGCCTGCCAGAGCCAACCACGGCTGATTGAGCTACACCATTCCAGCAGACAAGCGGAAAAACTTCTCCTCACAGAAATCGAACTCACATCTTCAGAGTGCGACAGAAGAGCCTAACCACTACACCACAAAGGCAGGGAAGACACTGCTGGAAATGTAGAACTTGCTTCAATAAGTGAAAAGTAAAATGAATAGCAGAAGAAAACATGAGTTTAGAAGACTTCAACCGCTTTTTTCCACCAATCTCTCAGGTCCGTCTTTTGTGGTTAGACTACAGCTACGTCTATGGCTAGATATTATGCGGCGTGTGCGAGGAGAACTAAGAACTTGTATTAGGAACGCAGCCTAGGAGGAAAATAGTTTGAACATACCGAATTTATGGGAAGAGAATAAGATGGCTGGAGAAGACAAGTGGCTAAAATTTGCTGACCCGCACAATTTGTTTATAAGATCATCAGAGGCAATTTCGTTGACCCGCTCTAGTGCTTTTAACAGACCAGTAGTCCATGGTTTTTTATATTACAATCTGGCTGCGGTGCTGGATAAGACACATTAAATTCATTAAAAAAATATTCAGCTGTGTTAGAGAAGCCTGAAAAAGGGATAAGTTATTCGGAGGCGAAAACCATCATCAGAATATGGCTACGAGCAAAGTGGAAGCAATACCCATGCTACAACCAGACTGACCCCAACTACTTCCTCACCCGTCAATAGCAGCAGGTTGTTCAATTCAGACTCACATTCAGAACTGGCTATATCCGCCCGAGACACATCTCTACAATTTTTTGCTTAGAGCAGCGTCAGTGGAGAACCAGCCGCCAGACAGGAAACCATTTTCTACAACAAGCCAGCCCAGTGGACAAAGCACTTTGAAAAAGAAGGAGAAAAATACATGATATATTATACATATATAATTATATGTATGTATGTATGTATGTATAGTATAAGGTTTTACGGCGCTCGCAACTGCTAAGGTCATATGAGCGCGCGAAACACAAGTTGTTCACCTCTGCGAAAGTTCACTTCACGACTGGCTAACTAATTTACTTTAAAATGTTAAAAAGTTAAAATATTCAAATTCGGTGTAAATACATTTGAGATCTAAAACAACTTTTAAGTAACAATAACATTTTTTAATAATATCAAATTCATTCTACAACTCGCCATAAAGGCCAATGGCCTTTATAAAATTTAAAATTCTGCTGGGAACAACGACGGAAAAAATATCCTGCAATTTCTTGCATTTATAATATTTCCTTCGGATCTCTCCAAAGTCTAGACATTCTGTTAAAATGTGTTTAATGGTAAAATCTGTGTCGCGTCCGACACAGAACGGCTTCTCATCTCCCTGTAGGAGGTATTTGTGGGTTAGGGCCGTGTGTCCGATGCGCAATCGAGTAAAAATGACTTCGTCTCTTCTGGAGAGATCCGAAGGATTTCGCTGTTCTAGTTTGGGTTTAATTTCATATAATTTATTATTTTTCTGGTTTTCCCAGTGGCTCTCCCACAGACTGGAGGTGTACTTTTTGACTTTATTTCTAAAGTCAGTCTGTGGGAGAGTGTTTGTCGTTGATCCCAGCAGAAGGGATGAAGCTTTCTTCGCCAGGTCGTCTACTTGCTCGTTTTCTCGGATGCCCACATGGCTGGGTATCCATGCGAACATGATGTTTTTTCCTGTTTCGGACAGTGTATGGATTTTCTGTTGTAGCCTAACTATTTTTGGGTGTAAGAGTGTGTAGTTTGTGAGTGAGGTGATGCAAGACAGAGAGTCAGAAAGGATAAGGAAAGATTTGTTAGGAGAAATTTCTACAGAGTCCAGTGCCATGTCAATGGCAGTGGCCTCCGCAGTGAAAATGGAGGCTTCAGGGTGGAGTCTCCTCTGGTGTGTATTGTTGGGAGATAGGACTGCGGCGCCCACTTCATTGTCTTTTTTGGAGCCATCTATTAGCTTTTTGTATTCTGCTTGAAATGTTTTGGTGTTTGTGCTTTCTTTGTTGTGTGTGGTCAGCTGTAAATCTACTTTTGCCTTGGTGAGGTGCCACGGAGGGAGGTCGGGGAAAATAATTTGTTGGATATATATATATATGTGTGTGTGTGTGTGTGTGTGTGTGTGTGTGTGTGTGTGTGTGTGTGTGTTTGTGTGTGTGTAATTATGTATGTATACATAAAGGAGGAGGCTATGTATGCCATTATAAACTATAATTTTTTATAACGTTGTAAAATGGAAGTCAAATTTTTTATTGTATTTCATGAAGTACATATTAATATTTATATTTTTTAGATTGTGCTGCGAATTTTGTCCATCGTCGGGTTCACACAGAGGCGGTGTTGCGCGTGAGACCAGCAGACTGGACACTGTGCTCTGTGACGTCATCTAGCTGATTGAAGCGTAGATCTCCACGCAGGCGATACGTGACCAGGTGTGAGTCAGGTCGACAGTGGCGTGGTAGTCACCGGGCGGGTACGTCTTGAAGTCAAAGTCAAAGGATGCACTAGACAGAGTGTAACTGCCCTGTGGGGTTGGGAAAGTAGAGGGGGCATGGCCGGGGGGAAGGGGGGAAGAGGAGGAGGGGAGAAGGAGGAGGAGGAGGAAGGGAGGTTGGAGCAGGAGGAAGGGAGGGATGGGGGGGGGGGTTACGTCACACGAACAAGTGGAGATACACGCAAGTGTTAATGGTAA